AGCTCTGCTAGGTTCTTACAGTGAGCACTGGGAAGAAATCTCCTGTTTCTGGCAGGGAGAAGGGGAAAGCAGCCAGGGCATTCTGTTCTTTGGGCAGCCTGCCCTCAAATGGTTTCATCAGAGCTAACTGCTTAAGCCTGTATCAGAACCTGACTAACCTGGAGGAAGGGCAGATACCCACCTCTGGCCTCCTCTCGCCACCCTGCGACCTCGTCAAATTCACAGTCCGGAGGCACAGGCTCTCTACCAGACTGCCACAGCTCCGGTAGCCAAGTCCACTAAGCTTCGAGCCGGAGGAAGAACTAAGAGGGTATCTGCCAGTGCAGTCAGTTTTCCCCAGAACCCTGCCCAATGACTTCATTTAAACTGCTCTGGCCCCCAAGGGACAAGTAAGGCTGGCAAGAATGTTGTATTCCTGGGTGCCTGGGTGGCTCGTTTGGGTAAGCATCTGCCTTCGGCTCAGGTCATGATCCCAGGGTCTCTGGGATCGAGCCCCACCTTGGGCTCCCTGCTCCGTGAGGGTCTGCTTCTCTCTCTCCTACTGCCTGCCCCTCCCTCTGCGTGTGCCACACCCCACCCCCATCAAATAAATAAAATCTTTTAAAAAAAATTGCCTAACTTTAAAAAAATGTTTAAAAAATAAATATGTTCAAATCCTAATCCCCGAACCTGTGCATACGTTTGGTTACAGGGCAAAGGGTTATTAAAGTTGCTAAAGAGCTGACTGTAGGGCGCTTGGGTGGCTCAGTTGTTTAAGCCACTGCCTTTGGCTCAGGTCATGATTCCAGACTCATGGGATCGAGTCTGGCATCGGGCTCCCAGCTCTGCAGGGAGTCTGTTTCTCCCTCTGACCTTCTCCCCTCTCATGCTCTCTCTCTCACTCTCTCTCTCAAATAAATAAATTAAATTTTAAAAAGAGCTGACTGTAAAATGGGGAGATTATCTTGGTTTACGTGAGTAGGTTCAATGGAATCACCAGTGTCTTTATGAGTGAAAGAAGTATAAGAAGGAGAACCAGAGGGGCGGTAGCATGGGAAGGTTTTGCTATTGTTCGCCTTGAAAATGGAGCCAAGAATGTAGGAAGCCTCAAGAAATGAGAAGTAACAAGGCACGGATTCTCTCTTAAAGCCTCCAGAAAGGAATACAATCCTATCAATACTTTGATACTATCCCAAGGAGACCCATTTCAGACTTCTGAACTATAGAACTGTAAGATAATACACTTAATGTTGTTTAAAGCCCCTAAGTTTGTGGTAATCAGTTATAGCAGCATAGGACACTGATAACAACAGACAAGATAGTTTAAAAAGCACAAAGTTGAAGGACTTTCCTACCAACATAAGACTTATTCTAAAATATATAGAAATTAAGATAGTGTAGGATTGGTGCTGGAATATAAAAACAGCAGATTCCAGAGAGAAACCGCTGAACAGGGAGCCCAATGTCACAAATGTTAAATATAAACACACTTTAAAGTAAATAAAACAATAAATCACAGTAAGTGCCAAAGAACTCAAAGGTTATGATACAGAAAGAAGTTTAAGAGCTTAAGCTCTTCATCAGGAAGCTGTCCCTCATCTGGGTTATACCCCAGCAGTTCAACTCCGAACCCTGGGAATCAGTCCGAGATTCTGCCCTAGAGAGGATTCTCTGTTTTGCTGACACAGCAAACAGATTAAAAAAAAAACAAACCAATAAAGTACAAAGGCGCTACAATGAAGGCTAATGGCCAAACAGAAGAAACATGAAAACAGAAATGTTTAACTGCGGGTACAATGTTTCCTAAGTGAGAGCTGCTGCCCCCCCACTCCACCCCAAGGGCCACCCCAAGTGTGGAGTTCTAGCATATGGAGAAATATGAGAGTACGGTTTCAAGGCTATTTCAGATAAATCTCTCATGTTGTTATAGCATGACGTACAGTTGTCACCATTTCTGGTGCACTTTACACAAAGTAAACATGTTTATTAGTGATTTAATGATTGTTGATGCCAAACTACCCTAAATTTAAATTTAAAAAAACCAAAACCCCACAACCAAACACACAATGGATGAAGATAAAGCTAAAAGAGGGAAATAATGTTTCTTCAGTTTCAGCCCCAGGGTGCTTCTGGATCCAGTCTGGGTCTATCTCACCACTCAAATGTGGAGCAAAGATGCTTGGCTGTCCAAGTCAAGGGCAGAACCCAAATTTTCTCTAGATCACAGGGCAAATGGGAAAAACATCCAGCGCCCGTCCCCTGCTAAGGGGCCTTCAGTCTGACCCTGACACCTCAATGAAAAAAATGTTTTCCGCTGGTTTTGCTTCAAGCCTATTTCTGAGCATTAGTAATTTGCAGTCCATAAATTTAACTAGAAGCAAAAAATAATCTCACCTATTTGCCTCAAAGCACAATTTTATTAAATATTTTATTTTCTGCTGTTTATGTTAATGTATTGCTTACAGCACATTTCCTGCTGTTCAGTTTTCCATGTTGGTTTTAAAAACAGATTTTTTTTTTAAGATTTTATTTATTTATTTGACAGAGAGAGAACACAAGGAGGCAGAGAGGCAGGCAGAGAGAGAGGAGGAAGCAGGTTCCCTGCCGAGCAGAGAGCCCAATGCAGGTCTCGATCCCAGGACCCCGGGATCATGACCTGAGCCGAAGGCAGAGGCCCAACCCACTGAGCCACCCAGGTGCCCCCCCAAACAGATTTTTTTTAAAAGTAGAACTCTACATAGATGTCCCTTTTTTGTTACTGTCGCTTGCTTTTTGTTGGTATTTGAGATATTTGGTTTCAGTTTTCTCTTCTTTTATTTCAGCCACTTTTCTTTTCAGCCATTCTATAATGTATCACACATAACCTTAATTCATTTCTTCATTTGATAACCAAACACTTGCCATCTTGATAAAATAAGTTTGTGAGATAATCTCTCACAGGTGCAGGTGGTGTTATGTGCTTTGATAATCACAAGAATGTTTAGTGTCCTTGTTAGTTTACTGAAATTAAAACATACTGCCATAATTTGGGGGCCTCAGGAGGCCTTCTACAACCTTTAGAAGCTGATGAGAAGAACAAGGCAAGAGAAATGCAGGTTAAATTAAATCTCCTTCCAGTCGACAGCCCACTGGGAGACCCTTGAGACATGCACAGTAATGGCTCTCCTCAAGGAACTCATGGCTGCCTTAATGCCTTCATGTTTGTATTTTATTAAAGACTAAAAATAACCTTATCTTAACAGCAGCTAGCCCCCATGCCCCAAGGTCCTAAAAGCCTTGATTCAAAATTCCTTAGGAACTTTATCTCTATCCCCGCTTCCTCCACAAACGTAGAAGTATATAATCAGTCACTCCTCACAATCCTGGGGCAGTTCTTTCTGCCCACGGGTCCCGTCCCAGTGCTATAATAAAATTACTCTTTTGCACCAGAAACATCTCAAGAATTCTTAGCTATTCGCTCTCGAACCCAAAATTCTTCTAAATGTCATCATTTTGGCAGCCCATGTGGGGCTCGAGTCTTTTCAAAATCCGAACTCTGAGCCTCACTGCAAATTTGAAGGGTAATTCCTCTTCTCCTCCCTTTACTTTCATTTCAGGGGCGTTTCAAGGGGCCTGCTGGCTCTGAGTCAAACACTTCCACGTGGGTTGCTCAGGCTGCAATCCTCCAGCCCGTGGCTACTCTACGGGGAGGGAAAAGCCTGCCTTTTGGCTGGAAATTAGTACATTGGCCAGAATAGTAATAACACCCAGAAACTTGATGCCCTCTCTTTATTCCTGTCCTTTTGTTTGTTCCTTTTTCTTTATTCCTGTCCTTAGGCTTGGGACTGCCCCCTAAGTCACTAGGACGCCTGCCATTCTTAAGAGTCCCTCCCTGTAAGGTTTCCTCCTCATCAGTCTAATATGATCCCCTTCACACCTCCTGTCTAGCCGCTCCAGGCTACAAGAATTCTACTTAGAGCTGGCAGAAACCAGTACCCAATTAAATTAAAACCCAACTGGGGACCATTTCCTAGGGAAGTCGGTTGTAAGGACTATATGCGCTGGAATGTTGCTTAGATCACGGTGGATTTCTATCTTTACTGTTTTTCTTCAACATCCTCTATTGACTACTTAAGTTACTAAATGGAGTAATTTCCCCTTGTAAAACTTTTCTGGTGTTCTCTATGGGTTAGAAATGGCAGGTTCTTCGCAGCATGGCAGAACACTGTATTTTGGTCCATTCACTGGCATCCGTTTGTAGTCCAGAATGCAATGGGGAAGAGAGGGGACACAGGCAATCCCTCCTATGGGGGGGCCTTTACTTTATAGCAGGGAGGGTGATCAATAGTGCTTTTGTTGGAGGGATGCCTCCAGTCACCTGGATACCCAAAACTCCCAACATATGCTGTGTGGGACACCACCCAGGAGTAAGGAGCGATTTTTGATAATGGACCTTCTCTAGGCTTCTTCGGTTCCCAAGGACTTTCCCACGGCATGCCTTTTAACCCACTGGAGACAATTTGGATTGTGAAATTTAAGAAAGAACTGATCTTCTTTTATAACACTGCATGGCCTCAATATGATCTACCGGATCTCTTCTGCTAGGAAACAGGGACAATGAACTGAGGTACCCTATGTTCAGGTTTGAATGACCCTAAATCACAACCCAATCTAAGGACCTCTTACAGAATGTGTCTGGCCACTAACCAGGCTGATAAGCTCCTTCCTGATTGTCTAAACAACCCAGGTTGCTAGAGGAAACACAGGCCATCTCTAATGAAGGGGATGCTGACCCCCTCTCCCTGTTCTCCCAACAGACTCAGGTCAGTTGTATACTTTGATGACTGGCTCCCCTGTTTAGAAAGCCTATTATCATTATGTTAGCTTTTTCTTTAAAAAAAAAAATTAGACTCATTCCTTCTCTGACCTCCTTCCATAGACAAATAAACAAAAGCAAACAAAAAATTCCAATAAAACATCCAACAAATAAAATTCCATGTCTACCACCAATGAAAGTAATAAAGAATGTGGTTAATGCTTACAAAGTCTGCATGGAAGGGCCTTGGATAAATCACAGAAGAATCCTATAATCACAGTTGGATTGCAAGGAGTTGCTCCCAGCGCTTGTGAATCCTGGGGAGGAGGACTGTCATCACTTTTGCTCAATCATCTGACCAAGTGAACAGTGGAATGTTGCACCCTGAACCAAAGATATAAAGGTGAAAGCAAGTTTAAACAGTCTCATTGACTTTTCCCTTTGAAGGACAAAATCCAGTCCGTTGAGAATGTATCCTTTTTGCAAAACCAGTTAATGTGAATTCAGGGGATTTGTTCCAATTTATAGCATAGTTTTCACCACTTTATAGGGAGTGCTTTTGTTTGTGATTCTTCTGACGCAGAAGTAGACACAAGGCCCATTGGCAGTCTGTGTTGCCAATGTCAGACTAGCCTTGAACCTGTAAGCCCAGACTAATCAACAGTATTACTCTGGTAACAGGCAATCACACAGTTAATTGTTAACTGATGCCTCTAGCATGAGTACAGAGCTAGTGGTTCCAAGATGGACTGCAAATCAAAATAACAAAACAGCTTTAAAAAAATGTAGGTGCCTAACTTGTTCTAACACACCGATTTAGAAAATATGGTGTAGGGCCCAAGTAATAGTATTTTTAAAAAGTTTTCCAAGTGATTCTGATGCAATGGGAGTAGAGACTGTCATATAGGTACTAATATAAATAATATTACATGATAGAGGAGAGTGGTGCCCATGCTTCTCAAACGGAGGCAGGAGATAAATAATAGAACTACTCAAAGCCACACAAAGAACATTTTGTGTATTTCTGGAATGGCAATTTCACTTGATGGGTAATTTAAAATGTCATTTTTTATTTTGGGTGGTCATTACATAGGTATATACAATTGTTAAAACTTATTTAAGATCTGTACATTTAATTGCATGTTTATTTTACCTCATAAAAAGATAATATTTATATTAAAATATGGACATACTTTGGAGTAGAACGCAAGATTTGCATTTATGTTTTAGAGGAACTCTGAGCCATTGAAGAAATCTCTGTATTTGATGGGCTGGTTACCTTACATAGGCTAGTCCCTGAATCCAGAGAGGACCCGATTATACTCTCTTCTGTTTAGAGTGGGAGGTTAAGGCTTGAAATGTTGAAAGGAAGACCTCTTGGAAAACGCCCAGGACTATGGTTTGAAAATCTCTGGGTTTAGAAATCCTTTCACTTCCAATGCTTTTCATTCATTTCTCTACCCATGACCCACTCCCCCACCTCCTCTTTACCTTCCATATATTACTTGTCTTCTTGCTTTAAAACACTCAAAATCCTCAAAAATTTCAAGTTTGTTATGGAGATGGTTTAATGACTTGGAGGCCACATCCACAGAAATCACACATTGCAAGCATTTTTCTCCACTCAAAAATGAGTGTTTTTTTTTTTTTAATTTTATTTTTGAGCCACCTAAGGGCCCCTCAAAAATGCGTTTTAAAAGGTTATCAGCTACAGGGGCTGGTCAACAGGGACTGAATCTAAGAATTATGAAAACCCACATTCCCTGATTTTGGAAAAGACAAGAACAGAGGGAGAATGAAGAGGAAGAGTGAGTGAATAACAAGAGTTTAAGAAAAAAATGGTCAAAGGTAACTAGGTTAGGTGCGCCTGGGTGGCTCAGTCAGTTATACATCCAACTCTTGTTACCGGGTTGTGAGCTCAAGCCCAGCTGAAGTAACTAGGTTCAAACGTTCCTCTTTGTCTCCTGTTGCATGAGTACAAGTTTGGGATTCTGAGAAATGGTGTAAGCAGTTTCTGTCTTTTGCTTATGAATTAGGTGTCATCTATGATATCGGGGTAAAGAGTACATACGCATCCGGTTATGGATTTAATTAACGTGTGTTAGTTAATTCCTATGTCTCACGAACTGCATAGTTGTTACATAAGCATGTACAAACAAAAAAAGCATATAGCAAACGTCTAGAACACAACAGGCACGCAACCCCAAGAGGACCCAAAGGCAACTTTGCACCACGTTAGTCTCCACCCACTGCACCCGTGTCCCAGCAGCCTTTGCGAAGCCAGCCCTCAACCCCTAGAGCAAGGGGGCGAACAGGGGGCGACGCGGCCACGCCCCCCTCCGCGCGTGCTCCTAGCCCTCCTGCTGCCCCACTATGAGCATGCGCCACTCACCTTCGCCGGCCCTCAGAGGGCTCCGGACGATAATCGGATCCGGGCCAGAGGCCTCCGAGGTTTGGCGCCTCACTTGCCTGGCACAGGCCGCAGACTCCTGCTGGTCCCGCCTCCTTCTGACGCTCTGACCCGGCGACTGGAGGAGCCGGGAAAAGGGCACGGCTCTGATTGGAGAAGAGGTGTGTTTACAGACTCCTGACCGGGCAGGCCCACTACCCTAAGTCCCGCCTTTTCCTTCCAGCTATTTTAAAGCGGTTGGTTGCTTTCCTCCTGTCAGTCAGAGGACGAGGGTCCTACAATTGGCGCGCCGCCGCCTCTTGACTGTTTTGACGGGTCACTGCGCTTGTGCGTGTTGACTGCGAGAGTACCTCGAACTTTTAGGTGGACGATGTGGGAAAGTAACTTCGCCGAGGGTAGCGACAAAAGCGAGGAGCAGGTTTCTGGTGCTGAAGTCATCGCCCAGGCCTTAAAAACCCAAGTATGGTGATTCTCCTGCAGCGAAGTCTCCCACGGAAGCCGGCAGGGACCGGAGACGTCCCGCTGGGGTGGGACGCTGGGGTGGGACGGGTGGCGGGGGTGGTTTGCCTTGAGACTTTCCCTTTAGCGCCGCGGGAGGGAACGGTGTGGCGGGGGTCCGGGCATTTATTCCCCTGTTCTTGGCCCCCAGGATGTGGCGTACATGTTTGGCATCGTGGGCATCCCCGTGACCGAAATTGCCGTTGCGGCGCAGAAGTTGGGTATCAGATATGTCGGGATGAGGAATGAACAAGCCGTAAGTATGGACGCCGGGAGCCAAAAGCATTATTGGGAATGACTGATAGTAACGGCAAATATTCATTGCAGACACACAGTCCTCACCACTGTGAGTACTTCACACATGCCAATTAAACGACAATCTTATGAAGCAAGAACTGTGGTTAATCCTAATTGACAGATGAGAAAATTGAGACACAGAGAGGTTAAGTAATTTGCCCGAGAGGACAGTTGGTAGCGGCAGAGCCAGGATTTCAACCCACTTGTTCTGGGTCTGGAACCCATGCTCTTGACACCACACAGGGTTGTATTCTGCCACGTCTAGAGGGTTGGGATCGTAAGGGACAGTTTCCCGGTTTGAATCCAGGCCTTCTGTTCTCGCATAACTACCTGTTAGTGTGTGTCTGTTTCTGTGTATTATTTGGTGTGGTCTGACTTCCCTAGTTGGCTGTGAGCGCCAAAAGAGGAGGGATATTATTTCTTGATAACATCTGTATTCTCACTGCCAAGAGCATGATAGATGCTCAGGCACTTCCTACCAGATGAATGGGTGAAGGCCAGGTCTTCTGTTACATAATAGATGGCCCTGCAGGGTGACAGTATCACAAATGGTAAAGCTGTGATTAGAACTTGAATCATTACCTTTTCTCTCCAGACTGGCTCTTCCCTCTGTATTCATGATTTGAGTCAATGGTGCTGTGATTTCACCTAGTCAGTCACGCAAGCCCAAACCTAGAGAGGTATATTGAAGCAATGAGGTTTAGTCTTGGTCTTTAAGTTGAACACAATCTGGGAAGGTGAATGCAAAACACACAGCACAAATTTATCTAGTATAATAACTTACAATAGATGCGTGTATAAGGAACAGTGTGTATACAGGGTGACTTTTTCTTTCTGAGTGGGACAGAGAAGATTATCCATAAAGGCAATGTTCATGCTGTTCCTTCAAAATAGCTTAAAGGCACGGTGGGCTGTGAGCCTGACTAGATAGCCTGAGGGTAGGTTGTAGTAAGTCCAAGGCTGGAAAAGGAATGTGGACTTTCTTATTCAGCATTGAATGAGACTGCAAAGGGTTTTCCAAGTAGCTGGGAGACATAATTAGATTTGTGCTTTAGAAATCATGGTAGTACAGAGTATGGATCAGTAGGACAGGTTGAAGTTTTATTTCAGTCCTTATAAGCTTAGTGGAGGGCCTCTGCAGGTCCCAGGGACTTTATTGGGCATATGGATATGGAGATGAATGATATACTGTCCCTGTGCTTGAGCTTAAAACCTAGCAGTGGAGATAGACATAAGCAGACGATTTTATTATAATGTGATAAGTGCTGTGATAGAGGTAAATTCAGGGTACTGTGGAAGCCCAGAAAAGGATACTCAGGCTAAAACTTCACCCGTTTCCTAGAGATGATCCCTGGGCTGTCCCAAAGGATGAGTGGGCATTAACCAGCTAGGAAGGAGAGGACAGGCTCTTCTGGAGATGATTCTAGGTTTGGGCTTGCTTAACTGGCTGAGTGGCTCACAGAGCTACTGACTCAAGATTGGGAATACAGATGGAAGAGCCAGTTTGGAGGGAAAGGATAATGAATCCCAATCTGGATATGAGTTTGGAGATGTCTGTAGTACATTCCCAGTAGTACACAGTCCCCTCAGTCAACCTGACACTCTGCAGTAGTCAGATGACTTAAGTAGTGCCTGAATTAGGGAAATGCCAGGGTAATGAAGAGAGAATGTGAGGACAGATTCAGAAGCCATGCAGGACGCAAAAGAGGACTTGGCATCCAGTTACATGTTGTGCTAAAGAGAAAAGTATAAGTGTGATTTGATTGTCTTTCATCAGATCCATAGAGTAATCAAGACATATACTGACCAGGTTTCCAGAAAGTAGGTGCACTGTTAGTTCTCACTGTTTCATTTCTAGTTGTGTACAGGCAATATTTGGAATGTTTTACATGTATTAATGGATTTCATCCTCCCAACAATGCTATCACTTATGTTCATTTTGTAGGTAAGGAAGCCAGGGTCCAGAGTAATTTGCCAAAATAACACAGCAGAAAATTGGAGAGCAGGATTTGAATCAAAACAATTTAGTTCTGGAAGTCTGCTCTTTTAAGAACTGCATACAATATTCTGCTTGTGAGTGAGGTAACTTTGTAGAGAAATACATGTTTGTTTTCGTTTTATTTATTTGAGAGAGAGAGTGCGTGATAGAGCACACAAGCACATAAGCACATGAGCTGGGGTTGGAGGGTGGGCAGAGGGAATGGGAGAGGCAGGCTCCCCACTGAGCAGGGAGCCCAATGATATGGGGCTCCATCCCAGGACCCCAGGATCATGATCTGAGCTGAAGGCAGATGGTTAACCGACTGAACCACCCAGGCAGCCCGGAAATACATGTTTTATAATCTATAAAAGGAGTTCCTTTTCAACTTTTGACATTTGCAGCAAAAGAATATAATTTTTGTTTTATGTTGTTTTGTATTTTGCATTCTGAAGCAGCATTTCTTACCCCACTTTAATAAGTGGACAGTGCTCCTCAGTGTCCAAATAAGTGTATCAAAACAGATACTGTTTTATGCACTTGCATTCTTAGGAGTTATCTTATTATTATCCTATGTGAATTTGGTTTTATGTGCAAAAGGGAAAGAGATAAGGGCCAGTGGAGAATAGTAACACAGAAATGGTAAAGAGCCTTTGTGCACCTTCTTAGTTGGGCATATGTAGTGGTATCAGTTAAGATTATGATTCATAAAAATTTATTTTTAATTTTTTACATTTATGTCCTAAACATCTAAGTTTAGTGTACCACACATAAAGTTGAATGGAGGTTAGAAAATATCCTATTTTTTATTATTTCTAAAAAAACGAGAAGAAATAATACTGGAAAAAAGATGTCCCAGACTAAGAAAAAGGATTTATTTGAGATGACGTTTAGCATATTTTCAGCTTATCTTGTATTTAATTTAATACCTCCCGTTTTTTGCTGTGTAGCTGAAGTGTAGTTTAAAGGTGGGAGACATAATTAGATTTGTGCTCTGGGTGGCTGGGTGCCTGGGTGGCTCAGTTGGTTAAGCATCTACCTTTTGCTCTGGTCATGATCCTGGGGTTCTGGGATCGAGTCCCATGTTGGGCTCCCTGCTTAGTGGGGAGTTGCTTCTCTGTCTTCCTCTACCCGCCCCCTCCCAACTCCTGCTCTCTCTGTGTCTCTGTCTCTCAAAGAAATAAAATCTTTAAGGAAAAAAGAGTAAAAACTAGCCATATGCAAGCCATAAAGAGAATCTCAACAAATCTCCAAAGATTGAAGACATATAATATATGTAACCTCACCATGTCAAAGTAAATTTAGTAACAGAAAGATAACTAGGAAATCCCCAAACATTTGAAAGTTAAATAACACATTTGATACTTTATAAACATTTAAAAAGACTGGTATAATAAAAAACTCCAGGGCAGACTGGTCAAAAATGAAAGACTGAGGGCACCTGAGTGGTTCAGTCAGTTAAGCGTCCACCTTTTGCTTAGGTCATGATCCCACGGTCCTGGGATTGAGTTCTGCATCAGGCTCCCTACTCCACAGGGAGCCTGCTTTTCTCTCTGCCTCTCTCTCTCTCTCTGTCTGTCGTGAATAAATAAGTAAAATATTTTTTAAAATATTGAATATTAAAAAATAAAATATTTTTTAAAAATGAAAGAAAATACAAATTACTAATAGCAGGAATGAAAAAAGGACACATCAGGGGTGCCTGGGTGGCTCAGTTCTTTAAGCATCTGCCTTCAGCTCTGGTCATGATCTCAGGGTCCTGGAATTCAGCCCTGCTTCGGGCTCCCTGCTCAGTGGGGTGTCTGCTTCTCCCTCTTCCTCTGTTCCTCCTCCCTGCTCATGCATGCTCTCTAATAAATAAATTAAAAATCTTAAAAAAAAAAAAAATGGAGGGGGTGAGCCTGTGTGGCTCAGTTAGTTACGCGTCTGCCTTCTGCTCAGGTTGTGGTCCCTGGGCCTGAGATCAAGCCCTGCATCAGGCTCCTTGCTCAGTGGTGAGTCTGTTTCTCTCTCTCCTTCTGCCCCTCCACCTGCTCTCTCTCTTAAGTAAACCAATAAAATATTTTTTAAAAAAAGGATACATTACTATATCACTATGAACCCTAATTAACCAGTGGATTGAAGAAGAAATCATAGCAGAAAATAGAAAATATTTTGAACTACATGATAATGAAAAGATAAGATTTCAAACTTGTAAGTCATAGCTAAAGCAGTTTTTAGAGGAAATGGTTTTAAATAAATCGATTACTGAGGAAGAGCAAAAATCAGTGCTCTAAGCTTACATTTTAAGAAGCTAGAAAAAG